AGGAACACTGGTCCAACAACTATACAGTTAGTAGACAGTATTCTACTACGATAACAAGATTAAAATTTGGACAAGGACAATTTCCAGCTCATCTATTTAGAATTGGAATATTGGAATCACCAAACTGTACGTGTGGAGATGAAATAGGCGATTTGAACCACATCTTTTTTAATTGCAGAAACCACATCGAATTAACCAATATGATAATTCGAAGTATAATCCGATTAAAAGTCCCATTACCTACAAATATAGAAACATTATTATCTACTGACAACAAAAAGATTTACGATCTACTTATTGAAATGCTTATAGCCACCAAGACTACAATATAATTACATTGTAAAATAAATAGTCAAAGTCCTAATTCATTTGTTCCCTTATTGTTACAACCGTGGTCACCCTTGTTGTGTTTAATAGTCTCCATGAAAGACCGCATGGAGTGAAGCGAGTGAACCCTGTGAATTAATCCAACAGTTTAGATGAAATAGGTATATACTTCTCTGCGGCCAAATGAGCATAGATCCCAATAGGGCTGAAAAAAAAAAAAAAAAAAAAAAAATTCAGGTGACTCTTAAAGAGAAATACGAAGTGAGAAACTTTGAGTATGGATGATAAACCTACCGTTACCGACCTTTCAGTATCCCGATATATATAAACAGAGAAATAAAAATAATAAGTGATTAATTTTTTGGAAGGTCATAATTATTGGATAATTCCTCTTCAAGGGTTATACCAACGTCAATATTTTTTTCTTGTAAAGTAAACATCAGTTGTTTTTCATCGACCCATCGAAACATGATTGAGTTGGTTTGAAACTCGTTACTATATTACGTTGATGCTGCTATCCTTCAGAGACTACTGTGCTTTGTTAGCGCACTCGATTATGAACCTGTCTAAAAACCGTTGTGCTGATCTTTTAAGCATTAATTAATTAATCAATCCGATTTTTGTTCGTAATCATTTTGCAGATGGGAATTGTTGTGAGTTACTACATGAATGCAATCGATCACTATTGAATCAGGGGATTTCTTAATTTTGGATTCATTGAATTTTAGTTTAATAACATTGGGTATTAAAACGCCTTTTATTTTAAGAGATAGAAAAACATGGACCTAGGTGCCTGGAGCTCAAATTTAAAGGTAAAATCACTGGCGCAAACAGACTTCAGCTATCTCTCATCCTTGTGCCGCTAAAGGGCGTTTCTTGCGATAGCTTTCCTATTACCATTGAATAAGTTTACTTATTCAATGCTATTATTAAATATAATTGATTTTTGCAAAATCTTTCTTAGAGCACTTTTTAATGCAGAATCTATCGCGATACACAGTTTTTATAAAGGGTGTTTGGTTTTTCTTGTACGATCCTAAACTACATTTTTCATATGAACCACCCTATATATTTTGCAGTTTTTGGAAAGTGTAACATTTCATAAATTTTGATGTATGATATTAATTCATATTAAATATTATTTTTAATGCATTTTATACATTAACATAATTTTCTTGCAGACATCCAGGTCTCCATGAAGAACAAAAGATGGCAGGATTGTTTAAAGCGACAATTTCTTGGATGTCTACTTTATTTTTGTGTGTTATTTGAAATTAAAAACATTTGGAACTAAAAAAATTCCAAATAACCAAGAAATTGTCATTTTAAACAATCCTGCCATCTTTCATTCGCCAAGGAAACCCAGTCTGCAGCAAAAATACTCTAATCTAGAAAGAACAATATTGCCAATAATATTTAATATAAATGTAACAATCAAAATTTTGGAATTTTTTCGCTACTTTCAAGAACTCAAAAATATATAGGGTGGTCCGTATGACAAAATGTTGTTTAGGGTCGTATGAGGAAAACCAAACACCCTGTATAAAAACTGTGAATCGCGATGGATTCTACATTAAAAAAGTGCCCTGTGGTCAAAATGAATCATCTTTAATAATAAGAAAGTTATGATGCATTAAAGAAATCACCTTAATTCGAGAAACGACAATTTGTAATTTTTTTTTTTTGAATTTTAGTTCTTTGGAGATTTAAGGACTAGAGCAGTTTATGCATTACATATCAGAAAAAATTTACAGTGTGTCGAAATTTACAGGCAGAATAAATCTGTAAGCATTCGATGGAATTGAATTGGAATTGATTTATGCGTCTTCTCTGTAGAGCATTGTTTTCCTAAATTACCTACTACAAAGCACTGAATAAGCGTGAGGTCATTCAATAGAATGGCCATATTTGAGAAGCAAGATTTGATTTATCACCTTAGCTTTTATTTAATTGGTAGTCCTGGTAGTGCAAACGTGAAGAAAACGAATCAACAAGATGGCCGTGTTTCATTGATAAGAAACCACTTTGTTTGTGGTAGTTAATAACAAAGAATAGCAGAGATCCTTGGGATGCATTCGGTCTTGGGAAACGGTGTAATTCATACACGTTTCAAGTTATTAGTTTCACTTTGAGCAGTACGACTTAACATGTAAAATCACGTTTTTTTCCCGTTCCCGTGGGAATTTCGGAAGGTGTGCAACTCTGAAACGTTCACAGGCATATGTCCAACAATTCCCCAAAGTTTGATCGCAATGGGAAGAACGGTTTAGGCAGACTGCCGGCATAAGAGACAGACAGATTGACATTTTTATTCCTATTATAGTGTTGTGAGTAAGTAACGTAAGGTGGACGTTATTTAAACTGCCATCCTGTACATCCGAATGTTTTAATTCAATTTAAATCTGGAGGATTCATTACGAATAAGCACAGAATTCATTTTTTTTTAACGGAATTGGTTATTTTAGTGTCCATTTTTTCATTTTAGAATTGTATTTAATTGCTTAATTTCTTATTTGAATTTTATCATTCGTGTAAATGTGTTTATAAGTTGTAAGATGTGAAAATTGTGTTATTTAAAATAAAGGAACATCTGGTTGAGTGCATTTAAATGTTATCTGGTCGTGCGCGATAAGGACCTTGTTATCACGTTTCACGGCGCACGTGAGCTTAGCGCTACAGGTGCACGACTTTTTTGAGTGTAATTTTGTTATGGAAAGGAGGACATCTCAAGCGCACCTTATTGGTGTTGCAATTATGCTTGGCGGAAGTAGAAGCCCTTCTTTATTTCAGGATTTTTTTTATGATTTATTGTGTATATGTGTTTTTGAATAAATTTGTCGTTGTCAATCAATTAATTGTGTGTTTATTTGAATTCATTGTACCGCCCGAATAGATTTCTCGCGTTTTTTCTATTTGTGTCCAAGACTTATCTCAGGTGTCAAACAAAATTTGTGTAATTGATTCTTTGGAATTTTCGCCTTTCTTGACTTGATTGGAGTAAGAAAAAACTTAATAAGAAGATTGTTGGTCTGTGCCTTATTCCAATTTAGTGTGCCCATTTATGATTATATTTTAGGTAAACTGTGTAAAGAATTGTGCCGTATATTTTCTATTGGGTTCAGGTTAGTTCAAAAAACCGTGGCCACGAAAACCAATCTAGTTAATTGGAAATTTATAAAGAAAATCATAAATAGTAAAATCTGTAAAGGGAAATGTAACTTGTAATTCTTTCACTACTTGATTTTTTCGTCAATAGATCTAAAACTTTATGGTAATCGTGTGTTGATTTTGCGTTTGAAGTCAATTTTCAGGAGATTAGAAAAAGAGAAATCTTCTGTAAATCAATCATGGTAAAATTTGTGTTAGTCATGTTAATTAATAATTAGTGTGCTAAAGAATTGTAGAGTTCATTTCGAAAGTCAAAATTTCATTTCACGAAGGGGGGTTCAATTCCCTCATATGCAAGACAAACCTGCTGCAATACGTGCATGATTTATGTTACTCATCCCTTAATTTTATACATATATCGGTGAGTCACTTGGGAAATTTTTTACTATGAACGTGCTTTTTTGTAAAATCTGCATTGTTATATTATATTTTGCTCAGAGCCTAGAATCGTGGATTAAAAAAAAATACGTCAAGAACCGTGTAAAATTTTCAGTTTCGTTTCCACGACACCACTCAGAAACTATGATTTTCACTTGCTGTCCGTCAACGAATTCGCCAATTGCTGCCATTTAATCCTGGCATTAAATGACAGACATCAGTCACCTATTAACGCCATTATTTGTTGCCATAGTGAGATGTAAACAAAACATGCACGTCGGTAGATCATGATATAAATAAAACAAGATATGCTAGATTGCCGTTCCAAATTCGTCCAGTTCACGCATGACGTCACGCGGTGATCAAATTTGAATTCAAAGCCAGATTTTTTTTCTTAATTCTACTACAAACACTAAAATTTCTTAATTATAATGGTTTAGGGGAAAAAGAGAGTTGAAATTATAAAACCTAAACGCAAAATATGCCGAAAAATATCAAGAGATCGTTAAAGACCATCTTTAAAAATGCTATAAGCTATAATTAAGCGCACCATAAAAAGAGGAAATGCAGGCGTTTTCCATAATATGGTAAGATACCTACTTATGCTAAAGTATCTAAACATTGTGGAGTAGATATTAAAAACGAAATGACTAATATAAAATATTGGAATTATACTAGATTCAAAAACGGTATTCGATCAGATAAAAATATATTGAATTATTGTTCTTTATTGCTAGATAAATTGGTAATATAGAATTTAAAAAGTAAATCGGACATCAGGAAGTGTAAAGGAGTAGGTACAAAAAAAGACATGTTTGTTATTAGAATAGTCTCAAGTTATTTACAAAATATTAAATAAACAAGTACACATAATTAAATTACTAATCTCGTGAACACTGAGATATGAGATGGAGTCAAACACTATTATTACTACCTTCTTTAATATTCCAGGCATTAATTGAATTTTTTTAAATCATGCTCTAAGCGCTGACACTGCTGGCAGAGGGTATCCTTTTTTCCGTAACAACCTATAGGCTCTTGTACCAGCTGAATCAAGGATAATAGCTTTCGAAATATCTTCAATTGTCCATGTTACTCGCTTATAAGGATGTTTCAATAATATACAGATTTCAGTGGTGGTGAAAAACCTGTGAAAAATTTCATTTTCTTCTTTTAATTTGGAATTATCTCGTCTCTGTTGTCAGCATCAGTGTTCGTACTGAAAAACGTCTCTAAACCAATTTCTAATACACCAAAACAAGAAACTTACTTGGTTTGTAGGAGAGTCGCAACTAATTTTGACCTATTTCTTTTATTAATGCGACTGGTTCGGGCCGATTCCCCTTTCACATCCTTTGAGTTCCCCAGTGGCAAATTGAGAAATGGTACGGCATCTGGTTTCAACAGTGGACGATTTCGGGCGGTATAGCCCAGTAGTTCAAACCGCAAATTCCGTTCATAAGACGACTCGTCAAAATGTTTCGAACATACTCTGGTAGTTTTCACATTAATGTGACCTGGCCGGTTACAAGGTAACACCCAACGTTTTTGAAAATTTTGATCATTCGGGAACCGGAAAAGCATTAGATTGCTTGAAAACTGTTTTGATCCATTAGCTGTGGTACATCCAACCACGGAACACCTCATTTTGTTGAAAACTGATTCACAAATTCCAAAAAAGCACCAAAATCTACACTGACATGTAATTATATTTAATTTGAAATTCACCGCGTGACGTCACACACGTGATTCATAACTCCTCCTACATGCGCAATATCATATCTTATATTTATGGGTTAATTAGATGTAGTAGATGTTAAATTGTTCCCCTAAATACTAGAACCGAACAGTCTTTAATACGTCGATTTATGCTCTATTTGTGTACCTATAACATTTTCAGTGGAGTTCAATCTTATATGGGGAATTGCCGAAGAAATTGCGCTCGATTTGTGCTTACGTTGTATGCATATAGTCCGGGCGAGAAATTCGGTACAGCGCATTATAAAGGTTCCAACGGAAAATCTTGAGACATTTTGGTGACAAGTGTTTTTGGGGCAATTGGACCCTGCTGAATCCGATTTTGCCTGTCACGACCTCGAATTCTGGCTGCTAAGGCCTCAAATCAAGATGGCGGTCAAAATGGCGACTAAAACTCACTTTAACATTTTTTTCTTGTTGAAAACAAAAATATTATGATGAAGCCAAAAAAATTTAAGATGGCGGCTGAAAGAGAGCTCCAAATGCCGCGTTTTGTAGTATTCTTGATTTATTCAACCTTTTAAGTGAGCAAAAGAATTATAATTTGTTTACAAAGTGCCTGCTTAAGTGAAAAAGAGGTACAAAAACTTTACTTACACTTTTTCAAAAATGGCGGACAAGATGGCGCTTAGTTTGACTCTTTGTACAAACTCTGTATAAAAAAATAAATCGAAAACAAAACTTAAAAAATGGAAATGAGCAAAAACATTAGGCTTTATTCGGATTCGTCACTTGAATCCGAAGATTGCACAAGCTGAGTTTCTAGGCTTTCGTTGTTTTTGCAAACGCTTTTACATTGGCAACTTATGGTGCACAGCATGCGTTTGCCTTTCGAATTAACAGTTCTCCGGCACTTGCGTATGTTAGTTTTGCACCCTTTCTTGCAACCACAATGTACCAAACTTTGGCATGCTTTTGGCACGGCACACCCACAGTCAAAATATTTTGAACTTGGTATATAATAATTGAACCTAGCATGTAGCCAGCAGATTCGCGTTATCGGTAATTTTGCGCGCGTTGCCGTGATGGAAGGCCCTAAATTACGCGTGCGTTTCAAACGCTGTATAAACAATATTTGGCGTTCTATTTGTAAAACAAAAAAAATTTTATAAGGATCTTATAAGATAATTATTAATACCTCCCTAACCCACTGAAAAAGATTTCGATAATTGCTTTAAAATATCATCAAAAGTCATAAAAATATCCGCATTTTGGGAATCATTTTGTTTTATTTTTTTCGCAAATTGTTATTATTAATAATGGTGAGAAGAAAAACTCATTTTAACCTATTTTGATCAACCCCATGTATAAAATGCAATTTTTGTCTTTGCAACTAAAGAAATTACTTAGTTAACACAAGTTTCTAGCGTCATTTTGACCACCATCTTTATTTTTTATACGATAGTAATAAATAATGAAACGTATGCACTTAGATGAAAATCATGATAATATCTTTGGTTACTACAACAACAAATTTTATAGTTATTTACGTTATAAGTTCGGTAGGTTACTTGTAACAGTACGAGTTAGACATTATGGACGAGGCGACATCAGGAGCCGAGTCAAGAATATCTTAAACGAGTACTGTTACAAGTACTACCGGACGTATATCGTAACGTATTTTATTTCATACTGTAAGTCTGTTTTGTACTTAGACCATATATTACATGGACTGCTAATTGTAACTAAAATATGGTCAAGGACATCGCCTGGGTATGTGAGTTTCAGGGTAAACGAGTCTGTCCGAAGTTGTCCGATTAGACACGATTTGAAACTGTCAACCTATAAATTAACAAACGTCAATTAATTAATCGTATAGATATGCCAAAAAAAGCAAACCTATTCTTATTTGTGGATGTATAGAAGATAATCAAGAGTATTTAAAGCTTCCCGTACTACGCGGTTACCATAAAAGCTACTCTTTACGCGATCCGAGTGGTGTTCATACGACTTTAGTTAACCTGAGATTCACATACCCACGACTACGGTGCCCTCTATCCGTGACCACCCATTTTGTATTGAAAGCATAGGGCTAATAGCAGTCCATGTACTATATCGTCTAAGGTTTCGGGTAACATTTAATACAAAACTTGTCAGTAACATGAGACTACTCTCCCCCAAAGGGGCCTCATACTTCAATATTTCATAACCAGTACTGTGGCATTTTCCTAATTTCTATATCGAGCGCCTATGCGGGGTGTGTAAAACGGACATAAAGTTATAGTCAACTTTGGTTGCTAGAATTTTGTGTTTAATTTGATTCATATATTTTTTTAAATAAACTTTGTCTGTGGCAATTCGTGTAACTCGTGTGTTTCTTAGAACCCTTAATTATGATTAATTTTGTTGATCCGTACCCAAAGTTAATTTCAGTTGTCTTCAAGATTTGTTTAAGTAATCCTTTTGGAATGTAAGGAATTTTATCGTGGCCATTATTTGACATAGAATTTTTTTGTAACAAGAATAATTTTTTCGTTAATCGTACCTTACCGACTAACTCAATTACCTCCAAAATTTAAAGCATAATAAAGCTGGATTTTATTGTTTCCGTTCCGTTCGGCAGTACTGATTTCAACAAAAATTAATCCTCGATTCGAGTTTCTCTAGTTTGAATTCCGAACAGTTAAAGACATTGAAAAGTGCGGATTCGTAATCTTTTAAAAAAAATCTTAAATGGACTTTTCGTCAAAAATAATTCGGGAAGCCAGAAGCGAAGCTAGAATTAAGCTTCAACTCCAAATAATAGACGAAAAGGAAAATTTTAACGTTTTTGCTCGTTTTGTGCTGTTCCTGGCCGCTATAAGTCCATAATACCTAAATTTAGTTCACGCAAATTATCAGGTTATTATTTTCGATGCGCGCTTTCCACGTGAAAACTAACTTTTCGTGAAAACTCCTTACGCCAACCAAGGAAAATAAAACAAATACACTAAGTCGACATTAGAAGTTTTGTTTTCTTGTTACTGTCCACAACCAAAATAAAACAAACTTGTCCAAATTATTCGAAAAACAATACTTTTGGAAATTACCATTACCAGAATTGAGGAATGAGTCTGAACATAGAGTAACTATGGTCTGAACTAATAACATAACGGTGTATTGCTTGCTCCATCATATGCCAATGGAATTTTAGGGGTTGTGTGTGTCTACAGTGTCTAGAGTTTATTGTAACATTTATTTTATTCAACTCAAAATTCTTGTGTCACAAAATTTTAATGGATCCCTATCGGCTAAGGTTAAAGTTATATAAAAGGAAGGTGAGTATAAATGAATTTGTTAATTCGTAGGGTTATAATTTAATAAAACAACTTTTAGTTACAATTGTCACGTAGTTAAGGGAGAAAGATGCATTTTAAAACCGACACCCTGTAGGTGAATTTACAGTAATTATATCCACAAATCCATAATAAACAATTATCAACCTTTGGGTTCCTCTTATATCTCCAGGAAATAAATGAGAACAAAAAAGAGCAATTTTCCTTCGCAAGGTTATTGCCTTAATTTTAGTTGAAAAACGACTTTGTGACAAAGTTTCATTTTGTGTGTGTGATGGAATAATTTCTCTTTTTGTCTCTTCAGGCGTAAAATTAGAGAAAACGGGCAAAGATTTTTGGCTTAATAAGCCGGTTTTTACAACCTTGCGCAAATGTGCGGTGTAAAACTTCTTGCAAATGCACAATTAATACTAATAAAAACTTGCACCGTAAAATTCGCATGACTAACTTATATGGATGTAACCTGCTGCCGGTAGATGATTTCGTCTGGTAGACGGTAGTGTTTATCTTTGTTTTATGGGGTTGTATCACTTTTTGCAAAGATCGTTTCAATTTTTTATGATTAACGTGTTGAACGGTTTAAGCGTTTTTTTAAACAAACACTGTCAGAAAGTACTGGCATAATGGTGAATTTCAAGCCTGTTATTAAATGGAATACTGTGACGATAACAAGCATTAAAAGGACGTTTACAATTTTTTTTAATTTTTCCTGTAAATTGAGCAAGCTATTAAGGGACGGTGTAATGCCTTACGTTGGACTTTCATTATTCAATAAGGTAGAAAAATGGAATCAGTTTGATTATGAATTGAGCTTCCAACACCGCGCGTGTTTAGAGTAGAAGATAAATTGCGGACGAGCTTTTTTCAGTCACGGCACACGTTTTTAATATAATTACAGCTAAAACTTCATGCACGGAAAATAATGGAAAAACTTTGGATGGATTAATGGTAATCTAAGTGGTTAGTCATGCATAAGAATTCTGCTATAAACTAAATGGCTTCTTGCATATATACTAAGTAACAAAGTTTAGAGTAGATGCACCACTAAATACAATACCACACCCTCAACTCGAACTTCGCTACAACTCGAGATTGATTAAGTGCAGTAACTTTCAGTTAAGTAAGTGTCTATAAAATCGTATTAACTAAATTGGGTTTGCCATTTTAACCATTAATATGTAAATTGGGTTTATAGCGCCATTCTGTGATACGGAATATTGCGTAATTAAAAAATAACAAGCCTGTTCATCCGATCAGGCTTATACGCGGAAACGTATTTTACCCCACATCACATGATAATGATTAATGAACAGACTGCTGGTGGATGATTAGCATTCTGCGAGGTCCAGAGAAGTGCAGTCAGGTAGGTACAATTAAATGGATTTGCAAATTAATTGTGAAATTGCGCGTATACACCAAAACCCTATCGGGGTATAATATAATTGGGTTAACAATTTCGGAATTAGATGTTTGAGATTAACAAGGCAGACTGTAATCAATCATAATATAAGAAATTGATTGTAGTTCTTTGACTAGCTATCACATTATCCGTCGTTGCTTTTACAAGACCTGAGCGTGCACACCCTTAAGGGTGCCGTTAACAATAAATTATAACGCACATCAGATTTGGGAAGTTTGCAACGTTTACAAAGTAGACGCACACGCCCCATTGTTGTTTATCTACTAAATAAACTGTTATAAGACGTTTATGTAATTGTGCCCATATTTCAATTTCCGGCGTGGACGGTTA